AATACAAATAAATTAGGTCAATGAGTTGTATCGCTTTCGCTTAATTAACCTGAATTTGGAAAAACACGTCTGAACATGGGCCACGAGAGAACACACATGCTTCATTTATCGTCCCTATCAAAGCTCTAAATTATTCCTGGGCTCCCCCCCATGTATTGAATTTGTGCATGCTATTCTCGCTCCCACATGCTTCATTTATCGTCCCTATCAAAGCTCTAAACTCTTTAAATTTAAATACAAAGGCATAAACAATGGAGAACAACCACACATTCACTTCTATATACTAAGGCCGAATTATCAAAATAGATTAAGATAGCTAGTGAATTTAGTTAATAATAATAAATTTATTTTATTTATATATTTTTTAAAGTTTTTTATATTATTTTTTCTTTTAATTAATATTTTTTTTTTGTTTTTTATTTATAGTCATTTTGGTATTATTTTTTTATTGTCACTTTTCTAGAACAATTATTTAGGTTATGTTATTTGGGAAAAAGTTACATTCAACTTAACTTACTTTTAATCAAATGGGACAAAAAAGTTACTTCTCTGTTTAATGCATTGGAATGTGTAAAAATTCGTTGAATAAATTTTAAATGATAAACCAAACACATACTTATTAATTTTCTTTTTCATTTTTACCCTTAATAATTAGTGTGTATTTACTGAACAGTGTGTTTATTCATTTTTAATGTACCTATTTTTTATCCAATCATTTAAAAGATAATTGAAAAATAAGTAATAAATACTTTGAAAATCTAAAGTATCAATCATTTTCTTAACTCTTGTACATAAACCTTAAATGTAAAAAAAATGGAGGGAGTATTCATATATCTTCTAATCAATTAGAGTGTATATTTTATACTATCTATCTTTCCTAATTAATTCTCACATTTCCCCTAATCAATTAAATTGCATGTTATTTAAAGGGTTTATAATTAAGACATTTTACTAAATCAAGAGAACACACATTAACTAAGATTTTTTATTCTAAAAATAATTAATATATGAGACAATATGAATTGAGTCTTATAAAAAAGAGTAAACAATTGTTCTAAATTAGGTATTATAAATAAAAGTAGAAGTAATATTAAATATGAATAACTATTTTGTATGAGAGTATTTTTAAAAATTTATCTTTAAACAACATTTTTAGGCCCTTTTCTTTAATGAGAGTTTTAATTATCATATTAAATCTAAATTCAACATATTATTAATTATATTTAAACTAGGGTAACCTTATTTAAAAAGTAGTTTAAAATTTAAATTATTTTTAACATTATTTAAATTTCTATGATAATTTTTAAATATTTATATTTTGTGTCAATAGGCACATATTAAATGAAAAGCAATTAATTCAAATATATTAAACATGAATAACTATCTTATGAGAGTGTTTTTATATATTTTTTAACGATAGAATTTTTAAAAACTTTTTTTATCTAATTTAAATTTTTTATCTAACATAATTATTTATGAATTAAATTTTAACATTTTAAAAATAAATTTTCAATGAATAAAATAATTATTTGATACAAAATAAATTATTTATCATAAATTTAAAATATATATAATTAAAATATTAATTTATATAAAATTTTAAATATAATTTATACGATTAAAAATATCAATTTATTGTAAAATTTTAGTTATACATAATAAACATTTAGTAAAGGAGATGGCAATATGTAGTGCATTTTGCGTACAACATACATACTAAATTACTAGTTTTTTTATAATTTTTACTATAAATAAATAAATAAAAATTGAATGTTCAAATTTTTAAGACATTTTTAGTGCATGAGACGAGTGATAATGTTAGTATTATCATAATGTAAATTAATAATATCTTTAATTAATTATTCTGTTGAAATATATTTTCCTTTTTATTTTTTTAAAAAATATTCAAATTGTTTCCAAATAATACTAAGTTTGAAATTATTTGTTATGAACAAAAACAATAACATATGGTCTGTCACTCTGTTGGAAGTTACACTCTAAAGCTCCCGTAAGAATTTTACGTAAGGTTTTTTCATTATACTTCTACCAAATGTATTAAGTGATGCATATGTTTAATACTTGTTTAAATATATTTTTTTAATCGATAAGAATTATAATAATTATATCAAAATTTGAACGTATAATTTTGTGTATATTATTCTAATTCTTATTATCGAACATATCTTACTGATTTTCTTGTTTAAGTATATGAGAATTAACAATTTTTTATTACATTTTATAGGTATTGTATTTTTGAAAAATAAAACTACACAATTTTAAAAATAGAAAACTAAAATCAAGTAAAAATTAGGAACCATGTCAATACTTTTTGTTTTTTCTTCTATTTTTATGTTGAATTATGTCAATACTCTACTATTACATCAACATTTATGTTAAATATTGGGTACCAAACTCATGGGTGCTCTAAATTGTCACCCTGAAAATATGAAGATCAAAATTGAACAGTTTTACTAAAAAATTTATGTGATATAACATAATATGGTCTATCAAAAGTGAATTAAGCATCATCCTAGCTACCTTAGTTGCATCATTACAGATGTCCTAATTTAAAAGTATTAGATGTATATCACGTTATGGCTAATTAAGTTGTAATATAAATTACTTTTTGAGAAATCAAAATTAAAATTTGTATTTTTAAAGACTGGAATTATTTATTTACATATTTTATTAAAATTTTAAAATATTTATAGAATATACCTTGTTAATAGGTGTTTGTGTGAAAGTGGAAAGGAATTGAAGTTAGAAATGTACAGTATGAAATAGTATTGAATGCATTGCATGCCCTCGGGGGACATTGGATGATGGGCTTTCTAATAAGGTTCATCAAATATATATATATACACCTTTTTTAAGTAGACCTCTTTTATTTATTTTAATTTTTTAAAAAATATATTTAATTTTTTAATTTTACATTTTCAACTTTTAATATACTACTTTCTTCTTCTTCTTTATACACATCTTTCTTTTTTCTTTCAGTTTTCATATACACCAATTTATCTTTTTTCAATTTTTTACTTATTTTAATAGGTAATTTTAACTCTTTTAATTTTTACATTACTTTCTTTTTGTCTCACCTTTTTCACTTTTTCACATGCACCCAAGCTGTAGAACTAGTGTGCGACAATATTGTAGATATGTGCGACCTCCTCGACAATTTCTATCAAGTTATATGTAAATTGAAAGAATTAAAACTACCTACCGATATAAATGGGGTGGAGAAAAGATAAGGAAATGTGTGTAAAAACTGAAAAGATGAGAAAAGGAGATGTATGAAAAAGAAGAAAAAAAATGTTAAATTAAATATTGGGGTGTAAAATAAATAAATAAATAAATTATAAAATTTAAAATATATTAAGAATTTTTTTTAAAGAAAGACGTGTACTTATTAAAAAAAAAAAGTGTATATATCATGAAATTTCTAATAAAGAAGTGGGCCATAATATGCTGACAAAGTCTGAAAACTCATTAACCAGATCACACTGTATCCTTCATCAATAAGATGGTCCAACGAGTACATTGATATAGCAATAATATGGAACCAAATTAACATTTACACTTTATTTGGTGGCGAAAAAAGAAATAAAATAAATAAAGATTGAGAAATAACTAAAAGATAGGATAAATTATAAGTTGCATAGTTTGATTGGTAGAGAAAAAAACAGGAAGAAAAAAAAGTTATAAAGTTATTACAACCTAATAACAAAAAATATGTAAACTAAAAACCAATAAACTGGGCCAAATAATTGTCACTGGGTTGGGCTATTTCCGTAGTAGAATAATTTTGGGGCTATAGCCTCATCTCTTACACATTCTTCCCCGTAAGTAACGAGAAAAATGAGGGGAAAAGGAGCATCATCCTTTATGCCACATTGGAACTCTCGGCACATGGATCAGACTTCACAGAACATGTTTGGTATAAATTATTTTTGGAAAAATTAGTCATTTTTTTTTTTATGAAGTGAATAAAAAATAAATCTCAACTTTATCTCACTGTTTACCGTATAATATATATATATATATATATATATATATATAGTCTTAAAAAAACAAGTTCTCTTAAAACTAAAAAATTTATGGTTTAGTTTATCTTTTTGTCCGTATAGTTTTATCAGCTTTACCTTTAATTTTTATAATTAAAAATATTTTATTTTGACTATATATAACATTTTGTTTCTTTTTATTCTTTATTATTTTATTTTATGAATTTTTCCTTTTAGTTTTGTAGCAATAGATAATGAGAACTAAAAATAATGGTATATATGAAGACTAAAATAAAATATTTTAATTATAGAAATTAAAAATTAAAATTTATATTACTAAGAGATGAAAAGGTAATTAAACCAAAATTTATTATGTGTCTGGCATGTTAATTTAGGATGAGATTAAAAAAAAAAAAGGAAGATTAATGTATGCAACTTATTTTTATGTGAGGGCAGGGTGCCACATAGTCCATGTCATTACGAATATATGATTTTGATTAATTTTTATGTGATATGTAAATAAATTTCTTAATTCATAAAAAAGATAATAAAACTCAATTATATATGTTAGTTTCAGTGGGTGGAGATCATATTCGTTTCTGACTGTGACAATAGAAGTGACGAATTTTTTCCATCATCAAGAAAGTTGTGTTTGGTGCATTCCGCATGAAATGAAATGCTTAGGCAATCCGTGGCACGCAACAAACACCTTTTCTTCTTTTCCTTCTGCATCAAAGAATCTGTAAACAAATAAGTCACCAATATGTAGGAATCCAAAAAAAAAAAAGAGAGAAAATTCCAACCTACTCTGAAATACCGTTTCAACTTAATTAGCCATTTGTTCAAACCATCCTTGTCCTTGACCATGTCCATATCCAAACATATAGAGCAGACACAAAACTGTCAAAACTAAAACCTGCCCCGTGGGACCAAAACATTATTATATACACAAACCTTTGATTTAACAAACCAAAACTATATAATAAAATATAATTTGATGAGGCATGCAAGCAAGAAACACACAACGCGTTCTGTCCCTTGAGGCTTGAATCACTCAACTCAAAGACCGCAACAACGTTAAACAACAACATTCTTATATTCATACCATGTTCTATCACCACACACACACACGCCATTCATTCACTTTCTTCACAATACGTGGCCATGGCCTCACACGTCCGCAGCTTCTGCTGTTTCTTCACCTTGGCCGTGGCCGTGCTGTCCATCTTCTCCGCCACGCCGTCCACGTCTCAGCCGCAAGCCGCCGACTCCTGCAACGGAATATTCCTCTCGTACGCCTACACCGGCGGGAGGAAGCTAGCGCCGAACGTGACGGAGCCGGCGGAGCAGCCGTACAGGTTCGAGTCGACGCTGAGGGGGCTGAACAACGGGCTAG